TGGATAAACTGTGCTTCATTGAAACTTTTTAAAAACAACTGTGCATCAAGAGGACATTATCAAGAAAATGAAAAGACAACCTACAGAATGGGGAGAAATATTAGCAAACCATGTATCTGATTATGGATTAATATCCAGATAAATAAAAAACTCTTGCAACCCAAAAAACAAAGAGACAAACCATCCAATGAATACATGGGCAAACCTTAAAAAAACATTTCTCCAGATAAAAATGGCCAAAAAGCGCATGAAAAGATACTCCAAATCACTAATCATAAAGGAAATACAAATCAAAACCACAAAGTAATACCATTTTACACCTACCAGCTATAATAAAGCAGGAAGTAACAATTGTTGGTAAGCATATGGAGATACTGGAACCCTCCATTCATTGGTGGTATAAATGTAAAACAGTACAGCTACTACAGAAACATTCAGTGGTTCCTCAAAGTAAAACAGAAGTATCATATGAACCAGCAATACTACTCTTAAGGACACACCCAGCAGAATTAAAAACACATTCATAGGTATCTACATACTAATATCCAATGCAGCATAATTCATAACAGCCAGAAGTTGGAAACAATCCAACTATTTGTTATTGGAGAAATAAATATGAGGTGGTATTCTATATAAGGATTATTATTCAAGGATAAAAAGGAATGAAATGCTGACACATGCTACATGTGAACCCTGAAAACACTATGCTATGTGAAATGAGCCAGACATCAAGAGGCACATATTGTATGGTTCTTAGGGTGCCAGCAGCTAGGAGAGAGGGAAAAAGGAAATTTTTGCTTAATGGGTATAGTTTCTATTTGGCGTGGTGAAAAAGTTTGGAAAGATAGCAGTAATAGTTGCACAACATAGTAGATGTAATTAATGTCACTGAATTGAACATCTAAAAACAGTTAAAAAAGCAAATTTTGTTACACATATTTTAGCACAAAAAAGTGGAGGAAAAAAAGATGCTACCAAAAAAGTGAATGTTGCAGATCTGTATTTATCATCATAGATAGTTATAATGCCATTACTGTGTAAAAAAAAGCCAGGTTATAAAATAGTACATAATGAATTGTTGCATTTTTGTAAAAATATTTAAATGTATATACACACAAGAAAGCTACTCAAAAATGTTGTGTTTGGGTAAAAGGTACAGGTGACATTTTTGTTTCCACGCACTTTCTAACTTTTCTACAATGAAAATTCCTTGTTAAAAAAAAAAACTAAAAAATCAGAAATGGATGAAAACAGTCATCATAGTAACAGGTATATGTGAAAAATGGGACAAGAGGTATGAAAGGGGCAAAAGGAATGGCTGAAATAAAGTCAACAAGGATGAGTAAGACGCATGTTTAAAACAGGGAGAACAGTTGGCAACAAGGCAAAAATGGCATCAGTTCACAGAATCCTAGACAGCACCTTCATTTTAATTATAAGAAAACTGAACATTAGATAGGTGGTATGCAGACTAGCATTTACTGGCCAAACCTGAACTAGAAAGAAAGAGCATGGCATCTTATCTCATATACTTAATTTGGACTCTTAGATACTGGTCTTAAATTCAAGGCTGGTGGAGTATAAGAACAAAGGAAAAACTGAAGGAACAAAACCGCAGCAGAATCACAGAACCCAAGAAAGGACTAACAGTTACCAAAGGGAAAGAGACTGAGGAGAATGGGAGGGAAGGCAGCGAGAAGCGGGGGGAGAATAAAGGGGGCCTTACGATTAGCATGTATGGGGAGGGCATGGGGAGGGCTGTGCAACACAGAGAAGACAAGTAGTAATTTTACAGCATCTCACTACACTGATGGATAGTGACTAATGGGGCATGTCCGGGGGGACTTGGTGAAGGGGGAAGTCTAGTAAACATAATGTTCCTCATGTAATTGTAGATAATGATACCAAAAAAAAAAAATTCAAGGCTGGAGTTCAGGCTTCAATCATCTGGCAACCAGAGCCATCAAAACTGAACACAGGGAATGGGGAGATGATTTCATTAGAGTTGTGTCTGTTTAACGAGACAACTTTCTAAAGGCTGAGTTTTAAAAGAAAAGCAATGAAATGCAGTAAGAAAACAAGTGGACTAGTCCAGAGAGGCACCAAAGAAAAGGGGTACAGAAGCAAAAGCAGAACTCAGTATTCAACTGAAAGTAGTGGAAGACAACAAAAACAGATTTTACCCTCGAGTTGCTAGAACTGGCCCCGTAAGTTATTAACAGAAATACTGAGGTTAGGAGGATTGAAAATATGGCTACTGAAGGGTCCCAACTTTAATTTGTACAAGTGTTTTTGTGGAACACCTATTTAATACTAAGTAGTTCAATAAATATTTATTCAATGTAATGTCTAGCAAAAAACTCAGGAGCTATCACTTCTAAGCTATTTCTGCAGCTGCCCACAGGTAGTGACTGAAGTCACTGAAGCAGAGGAAGATAAGCCACAAGAATGTAAAAGGGAAAGGAGGGCAAAACTTTTGTTTTGAAAGAACTAAAACATTCTTGTGAAAAGTTCTGTGGCCTTGAAGGCCACATCTCCCTCCTACCAACTCTTATAGTAACCAGAGTGAACTAGGGTAATGAAAGCCTTACTTACTGGTTTCCAAATTCCGATGCCACAAAAAGGAAGCCCGTCTTAAGGACACACATCGCAGCAGCAACAGGCACCGTGTCAAAGTACTTGAGGCGGATCTCGGTGACCTGGGAGGAAAGGAGAGAGGGTCCAGCATGCAGGCAAGTGAAGGCAGGCCAGGAAAGAAAGCCCAATATCATACTACAGAAGCATAATAGCAAATAAAACACTATCCTTAGTACCCAAGCCAGGGGTCGGCAAACCCCAGGGCACAGACCAGTCATGCCTATTCATTTACATACTGCCCACGGCTGCTTTTGTGCCACAACAGCAGAGTTGAGTAGTTGAGATAAGAGACCATATGGCTCACAAAAGCTGAAAAAGTTTACTACCTGGAGTTTACAAAAAAGTCTGCCAACTCCTGAGCTAAACAGGTATCTAAGAAATTACCCAGTTGTCAGAGCTCTCCATGGGATGAAAGAAGTAACAAATCATGTGTATTACCAATTTTCAGTAGACATGGAGAGCTCTGCCTTTTATTCACTTGAAGTGGTACTGCCCAATCTCATATTATTTTATCTGAGACTACCAGACCAGTAATTTGTTAACCACAGGGACAAAACCCACATTCATGTACCAGTTCCAAACTTTAAAAGTTTTAATATCTTAGGCAACTACTTCTGAAGGCATTCTGTTCCCAATTTTTTTTACTTGTTAAGTATTAACTGTCCTATGTCAGAGAGTAGTTGTAATGAATAACTGGTTTATGAACCACTTTATAAACCTTAACTGTACATACAAATACCAGTTTTTAAAATAAGGTTCTTTAGTTATACTAAAATTAGGATGAAATTATAGAAAAGTTTTATCAAACCAGACTAAACATAACAAAGGGGTTTTTTCATTTTTCTCTTCCATCCATGGTCTTACCATATCTTCATCTGTCTCCAACGTGATCTTGAATATATCTCCCTGCTCCGTTTGGGCCAAAAAGAAGAACATGGATTTGGTCTTATGGGTGGCAGAGCAGACAAAAATCATTCCTCTTTCAGGGTCATCCAGGTCATTCTATCAAAGTCAAATATACAACCAACATCTTAGAAATAGGTACTTATTTCTAGAATCCAGCACCTTAGCCACTGGGGTCATACAGGCTACCCAGAGCCCAGAGGCACTAGAAGCCTCTCTCTACAAGCTCTGACCCAGAGCCGCTTGACAGCCACAGGAGTAAAACAGAATAGCTAAAAATTTTTATCCACTATACATAACAGAGCCTAAGTAGCAAAAAATAGCTACAATTCCATTCTACATCAAGAACTTTCACCAGAAAAAAATGTCAGAGACATGAAATTTAATCATCATTTCAGGATGTAAATAAACTCTTGCATGTCCACACACCACCATCCAAACCATCCATCTTCAGCCCTGTTCTACATCAACTTGATTCTTAAAAGTCAGATCCTTTGGCTATGATTTGGATTTCTTTTTAATTAATGTTATCAACAGTTTGTACTCCTGTCACTGAGGAAGGTCTTCAAGGGCAAAACATGCTTTATACTTCTTATAGCCCCAAAGCCACATTAACTGAATGGAATCACTTGGAGCCCTTACCAAGAATTTAAGTTGCTAGTTCTTCTCATGTTTTCTAAAACTGATGGACTCTTACTCAGATGCCATGTATTAGATAAATTAAAGTCCTGAAACAAAACAGCAGCAGACTCACAGAACCCAAGAATGGACTAACAGTTACCAAAGGGAAAGGGACTGGGAAGGATGGGTGGGAAGGGAGGGAGATAAGGGGGGAAAAGGGGCATTACAATTAGAACACATAATGTAGTGGGGGGAGGTGGGGACACGGGAAAGGCAGTGTATACAGAGAAGACAAGTAATGATTCTATAGCATCTTACTACACTGATGGACAGTGACTGTAATGGGGTATGCGGGAGGGACCTGATAATAGGGGGAGTCTAGGAACCATAATATTGTTCAAGTAATTGTACATTAATGATACCAAAATTTTAAAAAAATTAAAATTAAAAAAAAAATTTAAGTCCTGAAAGGCTTAACCCTAGTATCTATAAATATTAAAAAGATAATAATTTAGAGGTGAGGAGAGACTGAGGAAGCACAATTAGCCACATACTGATTGCTGAAGCAGGATTCACAGAAATAATACTTTACTTTTAAATATCTTGATAATTTCCATAGTAAGCTGTTAGAAGCAATAAAACACCACTGTCAACCACTAGTGTAGTAAATGAATGAAGGGAAAGCCACCGTGTGAAAAGGCGGTGGGGAAAAGAATATTTAGTCTCAAAGTTCACACCAGATTCCACGTCAACTACAGAAAAGGAAAGGTATGAAGAGGAAAGGCTCAAGATGGAGTAGGAAGGCAAGCTGGAAACCTCCTCTCTCTCTCTCTCTCACACTCTCTGTCTCTTACACACACACACACACACACACACACTCAAGATGGAGTAGGAAGGCAAGCTGGAGCTGGAAACCTCCTCTCCCTCTCTCTCACACACACACATACACCCCTGAACACACACACACGCACACCCACCCCTGAACGAACGAACACACACACACACACTCAAGATGGAGTAGGAAGGCAAGCTGGAGCTGGAAACCTCCTCTCTCTCTCTCTCTCACACACACACACACCCCTGAACACAAACACACACACACACACACACACACACACACACACTCTCTGAACAGACCAACTATACCTGGAAACCTCCTCTCTCTCACACATACACCCCTGAACACACACACACACACACACACACACACACACACACACACACTCTCTCTCTCTCTCTCTCTCTCTCTCTCTCTCTCTCTTTCTCTCTGAACAGACCAACTACACCTGGGGAAAAGGAGACCACACAAAAGGGTCAAGTGGCAGAGCCTTGATGGAGTGAGGCCCAAGCCCTTCCCTCATCCCAACCCACAGGTGGGAGGAGGAGGAGTGGAGCAGGGAGGGAACAGGTGCTCGGGAACAGGTCAACATCCATTCATGATAAAAACTCTCAACAAAATGGGCCTTCAGGGCACATACCTCAATATAATAAAGCCCATATATGACAAGCCCATAGCTAACATCATACTTAGTAGTGATAAGCTGAATGCTTTTCCTCTAAGATCAGGAACAAGACAAGACACTCTCACCACTTTTATTCAACATGGTTCTGGAGGACTGAGTCATGGTAATCAGACAATGCAGAGATAAAAGGCATCCAAATTGGTAAGGAAGAAGTTAAACTGTCACTATTTGCAGATGACATATACATAGAGAACCCTAAAGAAGTCACCAAAAAATTATTAGAACCAATAACTGAAAATTCACAAAGTTGCAGGATACAAAATTAATACACAGATATCTGTTCGTTCTTATATACTAACAATGAACTAGCAAAAAGAGAAATCAGGAAAACAATTCCCATTTACAACTGCATCAAAAAGAATGAGACATCTAGGACTATACCTAACCGAGAAAGTAAAGACCTATACTCGGAAAACTGTAAGACACTCATGAGAGAAATTAAAGACACAAATAAATGGAAATCTATCCCGTGCTCATGCACAGGAAAATCAATAGTCAAAATAGCCATCCTGCCTCAGGCAATTTAGATTCAATGCAATGCCTATCAAAATACCAATGGCATTTTTTTAATCAACTACAACAAATAGTTCTAAAATTCATATGGAACCACAGAAGACCCCAAATAGCCAAAGGAATCCTGACAAAGAAGAACAAAGTGGGAGGATTATGCTCCCTGCCTTCAAGCTTTACTACAAAGCTACAGTTATCAAAACAATTAGGTACTGGCACAAGAACAGATAGATCAATGGAACAGAATAGAGAGCCCACGCATACATGGTGAATTAATATATAGTAAAGGAGCCATGAATATACAATGGAGAAAAGACAGCCTCTTCAGTAACTGGTGCTGGTAAAACAAGACAGCTACATGCAAGAGAATGAAACTGGATTACTGCCTAACTCCATATACAAAAGTAAATTTGAAATGGATAAAAGACCTGAATGTAAGACATGAAACCATAAAACTCTTTGAAAAAAACATGGGTAAACATCTCTTAAACATAAGTATGAGCAATTTTTTTCCTGGACACATGTCTTCAAGAAGGGCAACAAAACCAAAAATGAACAAGTGGGACTACATCAAACTAGAAAGCTTCTGTACAGTAAAGGACCCCATGAGCAGAAAAGGCACCCTACAGTAAGGGAGAATATATCTGTAAATGATTTATCTGATAAAGGGTTAACATCGCAAATATATGAAGAGCTCATATGCCTCAACCAAAAAACCACCCAACTAAAAAAATGGGCAGAGGAACTGAACAGACATTTCTCCAAAGAAGAAATACAGATGGCCAATAGGCACATGAAAAAACACCACTAATCATCAGGGAGATGCAAATCAAAACCACAAGATATCACTTCACACCAGTCAGAATGGCCAATATCCAAAAGATAGGAAATAGCAAGTGTTGATAAGGAAATGGGGAAAAGGGAACCCTCTTAACACTGTTGATAGGAATGTCAATTGGTGCAGCCACTCTGGAAAGCAGCATGGAGGTTCCTCAAAAAACTAAAAATAGAAATACCATTTGATCCGGAATTCCACTTCTAGGAATTTACCCAAAGAAAACAAAATCCCTGAACTGAAAAAATATATGCACCTCTGTTTACTGCTGAATTATTTATAATACCCAAGGTATGGAGGCAAACTAAGTGTCCATCAATAGATGAATGAATAAAGATGTGGTACATATACACATGGAATATTATTCAGCCATAAGAAGAAAAGTTAGCCTGCGATTTACAACATGGATGGACATACAGGGTATTATACGTTCAGTGAAATATGTCAGGTGGAGAAAGGCAAATACCGTATGATTTCACTTATTTGTGGAATATAAATACAAAGCAAAACATAATGAACAAAATAGCAGTAGACTCAAAGACAATGAGAAGGGCCTGGTGGTTACCATGGGGAAGGGGTTGGGGAAAGCAAGAGGGAGAAAGGGACACAAAAATTCCCAATCATAATGTAGGTTGGTCACCAAGATAATAGTACAGCACAGAGAATACACCCAATGATTTTATAACATCTTCCTATTTTGACAGATAGTAACCGCACTAGTGGGGGTGAGGATTTAATATGGGTAACTGTTGAATCACTGTGTTGTACACTTCAAACTATTGCAAGACTGTGTAGCAATCAAAAAAAAAAAGATAAAGCTCATAAAGGAACGAAACTGCAAAGCAAAGCCACAATAAGGCGTCACTTCACACCCTTTGGATGAGTAGAATACAAGACAGACAATAACAAGTGTTGGTGGGGATGTGGAAAAAAAGGAACCTTGTGCATGGCTGGTAGGGATTTAAGATGGAGCATCTGCTTGGAAGACAGCTTGGCAGTTCCTCAAAGGTTAGAGTTGCCCTATGACAATGAATTCTACACCAAGAGAAATGAAAATCTATGTTCACACAAAAATGTGTACATCAATTCTCATAGCATCATTATTCTAATAGCCCAAAAGTGGAAACAACCCATATGTCTACCAACTGATGAGTGGGAAAATGAAATGTGATATATCTATCATAGAATATAAGGTAAGAAAAAGGACTCAAGTACTGACTCATGATATAAAATGTCTGAGCTTTGAAAACATTATGCTAAGTGAAAGAACCCAGACACAAAAGGATACATATCATATAATTCCATTTATATGAAATGTCCAGAATAGGTAAATCCAGAGACAGACAGCTAACTAGTGCTGCCAGGTAGTGAGGCATGCAGAATGACTGAGAGTGGGTATCTCCTTGGGTGATGAGAATATTCTGGAACTTAGAAGGTAGTGACAGAGGTATGATGCTGTGAATACTGTAAAAATCAATTGTACACTTTAAATGAGTAAATTTTATAATATGTCAATTATATCTCAATAAAGCCCTCATTTAAAAAAGAAAAAAAAAAAGGAAAAGGTACCTTTACAATGAAGAGGAACACACAGACACTACCTTAACAAACTGATCAAGTTAACATCACCAATAATGAGTCAAAACCAACATTATGTACCACTGATGTGGTATCATGGGAAATATGTATCACTACATATGTAATAATTATATAAAAAATATGAACATGGGGGACACTAGTCAGAATGGCTTGTATCAAAAAGACAAAAAATAACAAGTGTTGACAAGGAAATGGAGAAAAGGGAACCCTCATGTACTGTTGGTACAACTGTAAACTGGCACAGCTACTATGAAGAACAGTATGGAGGTTCCTCAAAAAATTGAAGATAGGAATACCATATGATCCAGTAATTCCACTCCCAAGTATTTACCCAAAGAAAACAAAAATATTAATTCAAAAAGATATAATGCACCCCTATGACTACTGCAACATTATTTATAATAGCTAAGATATGGAAGTAACCTAAGTGTCCATCAACAGATGAATGGAATAGTATTCAGCCATAAAAAAGAATAAAATCTTCCCTTTCTCAACAATGTGGATGGACCTACAGCATATTATGCTAAGTGAAATAAATCACAGAAAGACAATGATTTCACTTATATATGGAATCTAAAAATAACAAATGAACCAACAAAAAACAGAAACATACTCATAAACAGAGAACAAACTAGTGGTTGCCAGAGGGGAGAGGATAGGGGATGGGGAAAACAGGTGAAGGCAATTAATAGGTACAAACTTCCAGTTACAAAATAAGCCACAGGAATGAAAAGTACAGCATAGGGAACACAGTCAATAATATTGTAATAACTCTACATGGTAACAGATGGTTGTGGTAAACATTTCATAATGTATAGAATTACTGACCCACTATGTTGTACACCTAAAACATGTCAACTATACACTTCACTTAAAAATATATTTTAACATAGATAATCATGAGGAAAAAAAGTATGGGACAAACTACAAGAAAATTAGTCTCAACTCAGAAAATGTCAGTATCACAAAAGACAAAAACCAAACCAAAGTAAAAAAGAAATATTCTAAATTAAAGGAGACTAAAGGTAGACATAAGGGAACTTATTGGGACAATGAGAGAAATTGGTGTATGAACTGTCCATAAGATAACTGTATTACACAAAATAGTGAAATTTTGGGGCATGATATTGGTAGTGTCATTATACAGGAAAATTTCCTTGGTTCCAGAAGCTACATCTTAGGAGAGTCTTAAGTGTCTTGATGCCTGCAACTCATTTTCAAACAGTTCTGCCCAAAAAGGTACATAGATATATCATAAGAACAAAAAAGCAAATGTAGTGAACGTTAATTGGTTAATCTAAGAGGAAGGCATATAGGAATTCACTGTTCTTTTCTAAATTTTCTGTAGGCTGGAATGAGGCAGGGAACCAAAAAAAAGTAAAAAATAATTTATGATTTATCTCCAATAAATATACTGGCTTCTTTAAACTAAAAGCTTCCAGGAATTTCATATTTAAAATGTCCATAGGTTCTTGTAAAATAGAAACTGTTTGGGCTTTTAACTCCGTTTCTCAAAAAATTTGTTTTGCTTTTACTAAAGTATTTTACCAGCTTTATTAAAAACATTTACAAAGAAACTAAAACATGCTAACAGAGATTACACAGTAATTACAAAAATTAAGTTCACAAACACAAATATATCTTCTCTTATGGCAAACAAAACTTTACCCGTCTCCTGGGAATTGGACAGCGGATATCTGGTTGGTCACCAAAGTTCTTGTAGGTGATATAGTTTTCAGAGCAAATCAGCACTCCACTCGGACCATCTGACCCTCCCGGAACTGTCAGAGAAAGTAAAACTTGGCAATGATTTGACAAAACCGAATTCCAATTTGACTTTCAACTCCTTCTCTCCTTCAGCACAGCCTGATGAAGGTAGAGTGTGCTTGAAGTTGAGAAATATTAAAAGTGTTTCTCTTTCCTGATAGTTACGCTAAATAAGGATGGAGCACACTTTGGGCCATCTCAGCCTATCCAGGTATCTGATAATGCATTTAAATTTTTAGCTCCAAGCACAAAATTCTCATCTCAGGTTCAGATCTATAATCCAACTACATACTGGACACTCTCACATCAATATTCCACAATAGTTTAAAAATACAATGTGCTCACAAACACATTCAAGTTCCTTCCCAAACTTTACAACTCCTGGGGTTCCCCATCTTAGATGATATCACCACAGACCAACAGACCAAACCAGAAACCTTGGTATCACCCTTCAATTCTCTCCTGGCCCACAGCTGTGGTTGAGTCTACCTCCTGGGCAGTTCTCATGCTGCCAATCTCTCCTGGTTTAGTGAAACAACTTCCTGACAAATCTCCTGGCTTACAGTCTTATTAACCTTCATTCCATTAGCCAAAAATGTAAGCGAGTAATCTTCCTAAAATGTTAATCTCTTACAGGTTATTATTCCTCCAGTCAAAATCTTACAGTAGCTACCTCACCACCACTGCTTCTATCACAGCCCTTTGGTTCTAGTGACCCAATCACAGTGAGCTTTCAGTTATCTGAATGAACTGCCTTTGTTCTTGCCTTGGGCCTTTGTACATCCTGTTCTCTTTGCCAAGAACAGAAATGCCTTCCTCCACTCCCACTCTACCCAGCTAACTCCTAACTAGCCCTCAGGTTCCTGCTTAGAGAGCACTTCTTCAGAAAGCTTTCTCTAACATATTCTCTTCCTTTCCCTGGCTTAGGGATCCCTCCTCTACACTGGCATTTGGCCCTTTTGTCAATTTTCTTGACACTTACACGTATTCACCAGACTCAATCTTGCATAAAAGGGAATACCACAATTAATTTCCTACCACTGCAATCCCAGGATTCAAGACTGATTTACACACACATCAAAATCATGGGGGCTCAATAGATACCTATTTAATGAATGAAGCCTCATAAACAAAAGGTATGGTAATATGTTATAGCAAATCAGGAAATGTGTCATCTATTTTCCAAGGTTCTTCTACTAACGATATAAACAGTCTCTTCCTAAGACTTAATGCTCAAAGACACGTGCGGTCTTATGTTACACTCTTCTCCAGAATTCTCCCCAACAGGCATATTTCATTGACATCAATCCAAATGCAAATGACTCAAAACAGAAAGGACTGGAACATTGTCTTCCCCAAGCCTGCTATAATTTAGATAACACAAATATAGTTGTCCTCCTTTAGTCTTTTAATATAATGAATATTAAATTTTCTAATGGTGAAACTTTGAACTGCTACAAAAATCATACTTAGCTATGATACATTTAAAATGCTGTTAATCTGATTAGCTAAAATTTTACATTTTTGCACCTATTATCATAAGCCTAACTAGCTTAATTTTTGTCACTGTCCTCCCCCAGTTTTAGTGAGTAAATTATATTATGCTCATAAAGTAGTACAATAGCTTTTATTCTTTTTCTAATCTCTGGAGAAATTTAAAGTCCCAGAAAACTGCACCTTAAATCTTTTGGGAGAAAAAGATTTTTGACCACTGCTCTAATTTCTTTATGGCCTATTCAGGTTCTTAATTTCTTCTCAGATCAACTTTAGTAATGGTTTTCAAAAATATTTCTACTTTGCTAAGTTTTCAAATTCATGGATATACAGTTTTATCTGGGGCTTATCCATTTCATTTGTCTCTTCAAAGAACTGTGTTTTTATTTTCTTAATGAAAGTGAAAAACTGACTATAGTCAACATATCACAGCAACCATCAGTAATCAATATTCCAAACTGACAGCTTTCCTCATCCTTTCTTCTCTGACCACAATAAAGGATAAGAGTTAACTACCACATGAACTTCTAACCTCACCATGCAAAGCATTCAGGTTTACTACAAATGGATTAGTTTCCAAACCCTGTTAAGTAAACCCTTGTAATTTTGAGCATAAAATGGACCAACAAAAAGGTACAGAGCTGCTCTGAGAGAACAATACCTGTAATAAGGAAGTTGCCATGTTCCTCCAAAGGTTCACTGTATTTTCGAACCACATGATTTAAACCAAGGTCTAACTCATAGAAAGTAAGCGTCTGCTGGGTATTAGCTGCTGCTTCCCCTGTCGGATCATTGTCTGCTTCCTATGGAGGAGTACAGAGGCACAAAGACTAATCAGTCCTATAAAATCAAACTTTCAGAACTGTAAAGAGCATCAGGATTCTTCAATTTTATAAATAAGGAAGCAAAAACTCAGATGCCAAATGTCTGCTAGAGATCACAGAACAGTGCTACAGAATGGCAGAGCTGGAACAAGAACCCAGTCTCCTATTTCTGGCACCAAGGTTCCCTCTACTAGAGGATACTGCCTCCCATTCAAGGGAAAGAACAGTATGTCCCACCTTTTACTACCTCCCTGTGAAAAAATATTCACTATAATTTCACCTCCTTTTTCAGGCAACTTGTCCCAATAAATACTCTCTTTCTACAAAGAGACAGTTTAAATCAGAGCAAAATGCTATTTTAAAGTTAGGTAAGTTCTGAAACATTTTGAACAATTTCAGCAAGGCATTTGGAACACAGAAATTTGTCAGGAGAGGTAACACATACACAATGAAAACAATCTTACAAAACCACTGAGGTGGGAAGGAAAATGGTCGCTATTACCTCATAATCCATTTCCAGACAAGCAAACATTGGATTCTCAAATCCCACATCTACTCCAACTACATGATATACTAAAGTGTTTGCTTTGTGGGCCTCCAGGGGAGATGAAATGGTGAGCCGGGCTGCAGCATCTCTGTTCAAAATATATACCAACTTCTGTTTCTCAATGGCACCTGTAGTTCAAGGAAGCACACAAAATTTCCAGATATTAAAAAGCAGTGCTTACATAACAGCTAGATTCACATAACAATTATTTTTTAAAAATCATTAACTATCAGCACTACCTCTACAAGTGTATTAACTCGGGATCATCAAAGTAGACAACATTTGGTAACTGTTGTCATTTTACCCCCCTCCTTCCTAACAGGAATCTTAATATCCCACTAATTAAAAAAAAAGAAAAAATTTTACTATGCCCTAGATTTAATGATGGTGGGTTAAACTAAATAATACATAAAAGTGCTGGCTTTATTCTCCAAATTAGATCTAATGATTTGTGATTGGTTAGAGGGTTGCCCTCTTGAGGCCTGATCAGATACACATAATTTTCTTCAAGAGATTTATAAGAGAAGAGACATGAATGTGAATCATCACTTCAGGCTGATGCAAGCAACCATATTCAATGTCCAATAATGTAGAATTTTTTCATTGCACTTCTTGCTAAAGATAAAAAGAAACAGAAAACCACCTATTTTCAACTTGGTAGAAAATAGAGAAAGTGTTAAGCCTTTTCCCATTGTTTTTAAAAGGAAAGACTTTAAATCATGGCATTAATCCAAATATGATCCAAACTTTACCTAGTTTGTGATTTATTGGCACACTGCTAGAAGTACAGCACTGTTATCCTAAACTGAGCATCACTAAGAGTCAGAGATGCCCTCAACAGAGCAAGTCACTCACTAATCATAACAGCTCGCCCCTTGGGATCCACAGCTAAGAACTGGCCAGGAACAATGCGGCGGCATCCACTCTTGCCAAAGGTTTCTTGGTGAATTTTCTCAAACATATTCTTGGATGGCTGGTATTCCAGGATAACAATCCGACCTGAGTCACTACCAACCACAATGTAGTCTTTGGTGCCACCTGTCAGCCTAAACGCCATGAGTGACCGGATAACACCAAATACTTCCACAGTTAGTAAAGTGTGAACTTTGCCAGTATTGGGATCAGGACGAAGCAGCTCCAAGATCTTCCCACGAGAAACAACAATTTCTTGTTGTTTGGTTCCTAGATCACCAAAATAATAAAGATCATTAACAATCAGCTGGTCCAAAAGTAACTTGGATGGATGGATTAAAATGCAAAAAAGACAAATACAATCAAACAAGTGGGGGGCTAAACTATTTTAGGTTAATTTATTCTATTTTAAAAGATGTTTTTCCTGCAATTGAAACAATCTAACAGAAGTGGTATCAAGAAAAGCTTTTAAAAAATGGTACACAACTTTCTTAAACGTTTTTATTTTTCTAAAACTTGCCATCAATCTGCACAATTGGGAGGTATCTATAAATGCTATCAACCTATAACATTTATCTTCATAAGACTAAAAATTTCCAAAGGCTCTTTCTAGCCCATCTTTAAAGCTATTGTTCTAAGAAATTATATTAACTTTTTGTGCAGTTTAATGTAGCATCTCAAAGAACTTTTAAAGTTGCTATCACACACTGTTCATTTCTAAACTCACCCTAAAAAGTTTATCACTGCTTTCATCACTGCAATCAACACCTCCAAATGCACAACAACCATCTCTCCCTGCCTACTACATATAAACACCACCAGGATGAGTTGTCATCAACTTTAAACAAAACATCTGAAATAACTAAGTTCCCCCTTTCCAAAAATTCCCTCTCCAGTGTCAACTAACCTGCCAAAAATGTTACTATCATTTTCTCTGCCACCCAGGCTGGAAATTCTTATCCTTCTTTCTATCCCCACTGCCCTAGTACAGGTATTCACTATCTAATACCTAAATACCTAAATGGCTTCCTAGCCTATCTGATACCCCACTCCCACCCATTCCAATTCATTCTCATTTGCTCAAGGCCACCACTATCAGGCACTATCAGGCCACTGACTTTCCAATGGTACTTGTGAATCAGAAAAGATCAAGTACTCTAAAGTATTCTGGAAATTATAAAGTATTATACATACACACGTATTGTGTGTGTGTGTGTGTGTCTATATTTAAAAAATGTTCTCTAATGATTGAAAAGGGTTTTCCTGTAATTTATTTTTTTTTAAAAAAGTTTGAATTTGAAAAGAAATTTGAAGCATAAAACCAGTATTATTAAATACGTTAAATTCAGAAAGATTGCAACTAGATAACTTACCAGAGAAGTTGCCGTGAATAGCAAAGCTGATGCCAGTGGCTCGCTGTAAGGTCAAGTTGTATAAGAACATGGTGGCAGGAACACTGAGAAACCCACAACTCCACAATCCGGGCCTTGGTTATACCAAGTCAAAGCAAGCTAAGAATATATAAAAGCAGAAAAAATATCAGCTGGGAAACTGCTATTTAACAGACATTCTGTATGGGAACTCCTCGCCGAAGGCAGCAGATCCAACAGAATAAGGTCTATTGAGGAACAATACGTATGTACTTAGGAGTGCCTTCTATATGCCAGGTACTGTGCTATGTATTTTGCCTCTAATCTCACAACAAATCTACAAAGTATTCGGTATTCCAATTTTATAAATAAGGAAAATGAGACTAAGAAATTAAGTTGCGTGCCTAACGTTATATAACAAATGGCAACAACGCTGGGAGCTGTGATGTATCTATCCCATTAATGCAACACTATTTACCTCTATTGTCATGGATACTAAGTAAGTCTACATTTACTTGCATTTAAATAGACTGTATGTTCACATGGTTCAAGACTGCAAAAGCAAAAGGCTCCCTCAATGAAGGGAAGGGGCTGGGAGGATGGGTGGGGAGGGAGAGAGGGAGGGAGAAGGGGATTAAGGGGCATTATGATTAACACAATGTAGGTGGCTCATGGGGAAGGCAGTATAGCAGAGAAAACTAGTAGTGACTGTATAGCATCTTACTACACTGATGGACAGTGACTGCAATGGGGTGGGGAGAGACTTGATAATATGGGTGAATGTTATCCTGTGATATGGGTGAATCACAATGTTACTCATGTGAAACCTTCATAAGATTGTATATCAATGATACTTTAAAAAAATTTTTTTTAAAGCTTCCTCATCCATTCCCTAGCCATCCAGTTCTCCTTCCTGGGGGAATCAATTCAAACAAGCTGTATCATATCCTTCCAAGTATTTTCTATACATACAAACAAGACTACCTATTAATACTATATTTTATCTTAGTTAACTAAAGGTTAGGTTCTATATATTGCACACCCACATTATAAGTTATTTTTTATTAGTGTACCTATCATCTTGGAGATAGCATTAACAAAAAGGGCTTTCTCATTTTTATTTTACAACTGTGGAGTATTCCAGCAAGTGGGTATATTAGAGTTCATTTAGCTAATACCTACCCACGAATGCCTAGGTCCTATTTCCAAACTTAGGACTATGAAAATTGCTGCAAAGAAAACTGCTCATATAAAGGTCATTTATACATGCATGAACATATCTCTAAGATTAATTCCTAGAGGTGAAATTGCTGGATTGAGAAAAATCCATACATTTGAAATTTTGATGAATACTGCCAAATTACATTTCAAAGGAATTCTATCAATTTACATTCCCAGCAATTCCCTATCTCCTCACAACCTGACTTTGCTAATCTAACAGATTAAAAAATCAGTAACTTTAAGTGGTTTTCAATTGCATCTCTTAATAAAGCTCTGTATTTAGTACTTAGAACTTAAAATTTCAACTTACCTTCAAAAACTAAAATAAAACTTAATTCCTGACACTTCAGGAGGCCTCCCTAAAGGATAAGTCACAGAAAAGGATTCTTCTCATCAGACAGGACTAAAGACTGCAAACTGATGTGCTTCTACCATAAAAGAATTACCCCAAACTACACCTATATGCAGTTATCATTGGAAAATAGACTGAGTTATTTTTCCTCAAAGTTTTCAAGAAAAAATGGGATCTTAAGAAATCCAAAAGAGTCACCATGTAACTTAACATAGAAACTCGGTTCTGTTAAGTGAGAAAAGACAATTATAATAATCATTTCTGGGCTGGTCAAAAGCACGGTGAGTAAGAGAGGATCAATCCTCCAGTATGGAAATAGGTCCTCAGAGACATCAATTTTCCTACTTGAGACTAAGGAACATCTTTAATGTTCTTCTAGGATCACAGGGAAGGAAAAGACCTGAGTTGGATCAAGAAGCTGAGAAATGACCTTCAAGAAGAAAAACAGTAATACTGTGACAGGGACCATGGTGTAGTCAGAGTAGGGTAAGGGCCTCCAGAAAAAGCAAGGCAGGATATCTGCAGTCAGGGCAATGTAACTACATGCAAAGAAACCCCCTACTAAACTCTGTGTTAAACATTCAGATCTAGAGTCATTCTTCAGTAAGATCAGTTAATAAACCCCAGATAAAGAGTAGCACATGTTTTTTTATGCTAATCATTTATAATCATGTGTAAGATTCACTTTAACATGCTAAAAGGCCCAGGCCTATGTGCTGTCTTTCCTCCTTCAGATCTGATGAAGTGATTTTGCAAACTGGGCAAATTAATTTAGCATGCAAGCCCAGCCATAACACAGTAAAAGGCAAGAAGGATTCCACCTTACAGATAAGACTGCACACTTGGGGTATGGGTGGGGACTTAAATAATATGGGTAAATGTAGTAACCACATTGTTTTTTCACGGGAAACCTTCATAAGAGTGTATGTCAATAATACCTTAATAAAAAATTTTAAAAATATATATTATTCAAAAGGAAAAAAAAAGATTGCACTTAACTTCCTCTTTAGCAAACAATGCCTCGGCCCACCTTGGGGGCTGAGCAGGTGGCCGAATGTTTCATATGTCCCCAGACCAAGATTCTGGTATCTCAGGGAGAAATCAACAGAGCAGGAGGTTACTTGTATCAAGTTCATTGTAAATATCCTGGGACGACTTAATAAGTCCACACCCCTAAGTTTTTTTCATGTTGTCCAAAAATACTCATCTGCCTGTAAAACCTCTAGACAATACACCACCCCGGACTCTTGTCCCCTCCTGGCATGAGCCGGGAGCTCTGTCCTTTCATTTTATCTCTAAATAAATGCCTTGCTCTTCTACCTTGAGTGTTTGTGAAGCTCATTCTTTGGCTTCGTGAACAATAACCCCAGCATCAATACAAGTAAACACACGTCGAGTAAATAAACTGACACAGAGATATGGGCACACACATCCCAAAAGGGCTAAGACACTGGCAAGCAAGTTCCAGGAAAAGTGGTACTCAGCTTTAAATCTGGGTTAAAAATAGGCAGGGAATATGTTGTAACTGCTCTCAACTTTAAAGTAGTGAAGGTAATTCTTGAACATAATTTATTCTCTTGCATCTTGCTCTGGTTATAAAATTTCAAGCACAATTTCAAAATTGTAGTTATCAACAACAAAATTTATAATGGAACCTCCATCACGTTGTCAGCGTGACCCATGTTACAGAACTGACTATATTAAAGGTAAAGAATTGTTACACACACAAAAAAAGAGGAAACCACAGGCCCCTTCAGAAGCCCCAAAGTCTCCCTCCATAAGTACTTTTCATTCTTTACAGTTGACTGAAGAACTCAGTCTACTTTCCATTCCTTTGTAAATGATGACATCTATCACTATCTAGAATTCATTTTCCCCAAACCTAGCGGGATCCAGGTTCCCCAGCTATTCTACTACTATTACCTTAGGTAAGGAGAGAGTTCCATTCTGGAAGATCACCCTAGAATTATATACTAGGAACCACTAAGGCCCAAAACTTGGTAAATTTTGTTATTTCTCCCACGTGTAATCTCCTGTCTGTAATTACTATAAAATGAGCCTGTGACTGCTGCCTCCACCCCTTCTCCACATGCCAAAGGAACTGCATTTAAACTCCCTGAAGTCTCCAGTATGGATATTACTGTACCCCATTTTGTGGTGATAAAATTCAAGACCAGAGGAGGAAACAAGTTACCCAAGTACCAAAACACAGTACTAAACGAGGTCTTGACTCCAAAGACTGTTACCGTTATTTATGTTTTTAACACTCCCAGTCTTTTTTCACCTTCCCGTCTGTGCGTCGTTTACTCTCTCCAGGAGACGTCCCTCCCGCCCCTTCTCACACCTCCTCCAGAGCCTAAAAGCCAGGCAATCTCTTTGAGCTAGTCCTCTTTCCAACCTTACGGGCGGGAGCGGCAACTATTTTTGGAAGCTGTGTTTGAGCCCCAAGTGTTCCCCTCCATCTGATTCTCGTCCCTTGCCAGGTCATCTCAGGCCTAAACTGCCTCAGCGGCGCCTCCTACCAAAGTACGGCCCACCATACAAGGTCTCTCTCCACTTCCCCAGGCCCGGGGAAGTCGGGAGACTGCTTCTTTACCTTGCAGCAGGGAGGATGGCGTAGATATCCGACAGATGCTGCGTAGCTTCGAGATCTAGGGCACCGCCAACGCCAAACCGCCGGCGTCCGCCATTAGCTCTTAAGACAAGGACCATCCGGTTAGCGCGCGACGGAAAAAAGGTCCTCAACTGGCGCCTGAAGAACGTTTATGTAATTTTTTAAGTGCTTCTGTTTGGCTTCCCTGCCGAATTGAAAATTATTTAAACGTACTTTATGACCGTCATTTTTTCCCAGGAGAATAAAAAATGAGTATACATTTTAAAGTGGACTTTTAAAAAAATCATAGGGCACTTCCGTGGGCATCCCCAATGACCTGGCGCGCTAACGAGAAAGGGGCTTCGCGGGACCGGAAGCGCGGAATGGGGACCAAGATGGCGGACCTCAAGTCCCCTCAGAAGCTGTCAGGGATGCCTCCGCCGCCTGAGGGATTGGGAAGAGGCCGCTGCTCGGAAATCTCCATTGAGCTTATTCGCTCCCTGACTGAGCTGCAGGAGCTAGAGGCTGTGTACGAACGGCTTTGCGGCGAGGAGGTGGGGGGCCGAGCCTATTTTTCAAGGAGGATGCAGGAGCAGTGGGCGTAGGAGTCGTCAGTCTTGGAAAATCGGGCTGTGGAAAGTTAGCTGCCAAGAGAGACAAAAAAAAAAAAAAAAGCACCTCGAGAAGCTTGTTTTGCCGTTATCTCGGCGATTCCCTTTACCGCCATTGATTTCACTGGCCCTTAATCACAGGTTTCTCTGCCAGAGTAAAGTTAGACTGAGTATACGTCAATTCGCTTGCTTCTCAAAATAACGATAAAGGCTTTCTTGCATTGGTTTACCAATTTAAAAATTGTGAAATGCTTTTACCCCGTTATCTCATTTAAGCCGGGAGTTGTTGCATAAACTTGAAGCGCTTTAAGACTTCCTCTTGTGGGAAATGATTTGGGGATGTAATTTTAACGTTTCGGTTAAATGCACAGCTTTGTATGAACTTAAAATTTTAAGACTCGGGCTTATCTAATCTTTAACAAGTCACTTCGTCTCGTACTCCTGCATTGTATTAAATGAGGGGTGTGGACTATATTTTTGTCGAAGATTCCTTGCAACCTCCTTCGCTTTTCGTGGCAAACTGATACAGTCAATACATTTTTGAATGTCAGTTGTGTTCCTTGACAGTCAGAAGAGATCTAAGCTCTGATCTAAAAGTTCAATATCTGTTCCTTAAACCAAACTTTTAGTTAAGGTTTAACACAAAAGGCAGTTTCAGCCTGGAAGAGGAGGGATCATTGATATCTTCAAGTATGAACTTGCACCAACTCTAGCAGTTTCTGAAGTTTTTCGGCAAGATGTGCTTTTTAAAATTAAGTACTCTTAACATTTCTAAGTTTGCTTTTGTTGAGTCAATCAATGGGAGAGAATTAAGTCAGTCTTGCAGGCTGAACATTAGTTCTGCGTTTGTATTTGATGACTGTCAAGGGGAAGTTTCCCTCTGGATCCTACAGGACTGTCAATAGCAATGTAGAGCTAATATTAATGCTGCTGTTGAATCATACACCATATGCTATGTTAAACACTTTAGGTTTGTTATCTTGTTTGGCTCACGCAATAGTCCTGTGGTGTATGTATTACTGTCCTTATTTTACAGATGAAGAAATTCAAGTATAAGAAAGTTAACATTAATTGAGGTAATGCAGTAAATAATGAGACTGACAGAGAATTATATTTATCCCTTCCAGGACTAACTGTGCACTATGAAGAGACTTTTTTCTAACTGCCACTTTAGAAGTTTCATTTGTTTAACCATGATATTGTGAATGCCTTCCTGTGGTAGGCACTGTGCTAATGATATTGAATAAAGGTTTGTTTCCTCCCTTTGCGGTGTTCACCTGCTAGATGGAATAAGATATACATAAGAAAACAATCATTTTGCAATGTAATAAGTACAAAAATGAAGTATTGTTTGTTAGAGTCCATGGGGAGCTTAGTGAAAGGAAAGAACATGTTTAAAATAGGATTCACCCTTCAGCTAAGTGGTTGGGTTAGATAACTCTTAAGGTTCTCTTTGATTCTGATGACAGACTGTTTCTCTGTTTCAGAAAGTGGTGGGAAGAGAGCTGGATGCTCTTTTGGAACAGCAAAACACCATTGAAAGTAAAATGGTCACTCTCCACCGAATGGGGTGAGTCTTCATCTCAGCAGGAGCTGTTTTAAATTCCAACAGGGTCCACTGGATAAGTCACTGTTTTCCCTAACTTTCTGTTATAAAATGCTAGTTGAAGTTGAAATGTAGAGGAGTGTTATCTCAAGGTAACGTGAACACCTGAAGGTATAGTTAAGTGGTTCTCAAAGTGTCCTTGGAGCAATAAGTACCAATATCATTGAGAGACTTGTTAGAAATGCAAATTCTGGAGCACCATCCCAAATCTACTGAACCAGAAACTCTAAGGGTGGGGCCCAGGAATCTGTATTTTAATAAGCATACCAGACATCCTGGGATAGGATTCTGAAGTATGTCTCAAGTCTGAGAACCAGTTTTTACAGACTTTGTGTATTTGCTAGTCAAAAAAGTAGCTCTTTGATCTCATGTGTTGGATAGTACATTTTATACTCACTTAGCAGTTGGGAAAATCTGGTTTTCTAGTTCTATTTAGGTACTTATTTAGGGATATTTATAGAAATTAATTTTTTATTAAGTATAGACTTGAGTTTTCAGTAAAACACTTTTGGGAAAAAGCTGTGACTAGAGTGAACTGAACTAAGAGTTGTGAGGAGGTAGAAAAAAAAAGTAGAAGATACAGTCTCCATCTACAAAAAAATTTCCATCTCTTATCCCTACCCTCTGCTAATATGGATATATATGTACTGACAATGTGTGTCTCTAGTCCCAACCTGCAGTTGATGGAAGGAGATGCAAAGCAGCTAGCTGGAATGATCACCTTCACCTGCAACCTAGCTGAGAATGTGTCCAGCAAAGTCCGTCAGCTTGACCTGGCCAAGGTAATCCCGTTGAATTAGTAGAGGATGGTAGAGAAGCCACCATATTAGAAATTAGAGCAAAACCATCCCATAGAAAGCCACTACAAGATACTAAAATCAGAAATTACCAGAAAACTCCAGACTTAGAGCTTGTATGAATATAGACATAAAAATCCTCAACAACACTACTACCAAACTAAATGCAACAACATATAAAAAGGACTATACTATGACCAAGTGGGATTTGTTCCAGGAATGGAAGGTTGGTTTAATTTCTGAAAATCAGTTAATGTAATACATCATATCAATAGAATAAAGCATGGAATCTGCATAATCATCTCATAGACTCAAAAAAAGCACTTGACAAAATTCAATACCTCTTACAATAAAAACATTCAACAAACTTGGAATACAGGGACCCTCCTCAGCCTGATAAAGGGCATTATGAAAAACCTATAGCTAACATCATACTTATTGGTGAAAGACGAGGTGCTTTTCTTCTAACATCAGGAACAAAGCAAGAATGTCAGCTATTGCTGCTTCTCTCCAACATTGTACCGGAGGTTCTAGCCAGGGTAATTAGGCAAGAAAATTAAGTAAAAGTCACCAGAATGGAAAATAAGAAATCTAATATGAACCACACATGTAATTTAAAATTTTTCAGTAGCCATTTTTAAAAAGTAAAAACAAAATAGGTGAGAATAACTTTAATAGTATTTTATTTAACCCATCATATATCCAAACACCATTTAAGTATGTAATTACTATGATATGGTATTAGTGAGCTACTACTTTACCTTCTTTATTTTTGTACTAAGTCTTTGAAATCCAGTATGTACTTTACATATGTCCTAGTTTGGACTGGCTGCATTTCAAGTGCTCAGTAGGCACAGGTGGTTAGGGGCTTCTGTTGAATAATACCTGGTCTGGGCTCTTAAACAAGTTGTGCCAGCCTCAATTTGCCCATGTGAAATAGCATAACTCTTCCCAATCTACTTGTTCAGATTCTGCAAAAATCACTTACCACAAAACACTGTTGCCACACAGTCACTAACATATTAAGGTTTCTTGCTTATTCTAAGAGAAAAATACTTTTCATCTATTTCACTTACTTTATTATTTGGTTTACAATGTTATGTTCCCAAAATGTCAAATACATTTGATTCTACTACAAATTTAGCTATATATATATATAATATAAGTCAAATATAAATGTGGATTATCCATATTCCTACTTCCATTAAAATGAATGATCTGGTCACATAAATAAAATTGTATGATACCTATCAGTGGTATTGATCATCATCAATAACAGTTTTGTGAGTGGTAGTTGTGGTATTTTTTAGTTCACCAGTGAAAGCTGAAAAGGACCTCTGATTAAGTGAATTCAACCCCTGAATCTCCCTGCCTTCCTGAGAGATGTTTTTGAAAAAGTAGGACATTATTTCTAAGCAACAAGTCTTTGCAGAACCGCCTCTATCAAGCCATTCAGAGAGCTGATGACATCTTGGATCTGAAGTTCTGCATGGACGGAGTTCAGACTGCTTTGAGGAATGAAGATTATGAGCAAGCTGCAGCCCACATTCATCGCTACTTGTGCCTGGACAAGTCGGTCATTGAGCTTAGCCGACAGGGCAAAGAAGGTTGGCATCCCACATGGTTGATTTCTAGTTTAGTTACAAGCATCTGTAATCTGAACTCGGCAAACTATCAGGAAAAGGGCATCTGTTAGGAAATTTCCTTGTCCAGTACTAGAAACTCTATAGGTTCTAGACCATCCCAGGTCTATAACATATTATTACATATTGCTATGTGTTATATGACATTATTAGTAACGATATTGTTAGTGCCATTTTACGGAAAAGGAAACTAAATCAAGATCACCTGTTCTGGCCAGTGGATTCTTTCCACTTGACCATATTCTCTACATGTAAAATTAACTTCTTAACCTACTATTCCAGGCCTCCATGATCTTTTTTCATGTTATTCACTCATGTATCCATTCATCGTGCACATATTTATTGAGCTTTATATACGAGGGTATGTATACTACTTGTAATACTCTGCAGATACTCTTCATCCTTCTGTTTCTATTCCTTTGCTCATTTCATTCCCTTTACCTGCAGTGTTATGTTCCTCCAGGTATCAAAATCCTGCTGAACTTTTGAGAGGTGGGATATTAACCTTTAGGAATC